CTCGCTGCCCCCCGCGCCAGCCGGGCTGCAGCCACAGAGACTTCCCCAGGAGGCCGAAACCCGCCAAGCAGAAACAGGGAATAAGGAGGAAGAAGAAAAAAAAAAAAAATCTGAAAGGGAGGCTTTCATGCCTGGGCAGCGTTTGCAGCTGCAGCGCTTGGCAGCGGTGCAGGGGCATTTTTAATGGTGCAACCCGCTGGCTCAGAAGTTGTGCGCTGCGGTTATTGCTGCCGTCAACCAGTTGCGCCTCAGCAGCGGGCAGGAGGCACGTGAAGCGCCGCGAGCCTCCGCGCCCGGCCCCGGCCGGGCCACCCCCCCAAAGACCGGTCCTAGCACGGCCTGCCCCTCTCGTGTACCTCAACGGGTAACATGCAGCTACGTCTATCAAAAATTACTTTAAAGCGGGCATACAAAAATGCTCAAAGGAGCACGGATGGTAGAACATGCATTTTCCAAAAGTGAAATCCCAGAGAGCAAACTACTGCCTCCACTGCCAAGTGGTGCTGCCTCTGCTCTCTCTGCATAGGAAATACATTTCTTTCTCGCCGCACAGACTGATTTGAACGTCAGCCTCATGCTCTGCTCTTGCCCACACCCTGGAGTACTTGCAATTACTGCTCATGGGTGTGCTGGTGTCCGTGAGCTACAGGCTTCACCTTGCTTAAGCTATCATAGTAGATCACCTTTCTGTTAAAAAGTGTGTCCATGTTTAAACTGTAATTTCTTTAAAATTCAAAAGCAGTTTTTTTCATTATGGTTTATTAGATATACTTTACTAGTGTATCTTACTACATTGTAAAGCAAGGTATCTTTTAGGAAACAAAAGTAGGAAGGCAAAATAGGTAAGTTGTAGACTGTCTCCATCCTGACATAGAAGACTATAACAGATGAATAGTTATTGTGATAAAGTGCTCAGGTATTAAAAGTTCACTTCTTAAAGTTCAGCATTTGTATGCAATGCTTGCAAACCAACCAGGACAGAGTGTAAGGACCTGTGTAGGAGCCAATGCTGGGTGAGACTCCACACACTTCAAACCTTCCTCTTATTTCGGAAGTCATCAATAATATTGCACCCCTGTAGAGTGTTATTATTGGCCATTACTGGTGCAAAAGAGAACAGTGTGATGAAAGTTGCATAAACTTTCCTCTGATAAATACATTTTTAAGTATTTCAGTAACCTAAGATGGGTTTTGGTACGTTATAATCTTTCTTTAAACTTTTTCATTACAAAAGAAGAAAAAAAAAATGTGGGAAAGAAGCTATGTAAAAAATCTCTTTGGGGCAAACAAAATTATTATTGTACTGCATAATTATAATATTGGTCTCAATATCTATGCTTTAAGTATATGAAAACATTGCATAACTTTCCATAATGCCTTCTCCTCTCCTCACTGTCCTGGGGGTAGAGTGATTGAGACCTAAGGTAGAATGACTTACCTCAAACTCCCAAGTGAGTCAGTAGCAGAAGAGAAGTTATGACTCATACCCAACCTACAAGCTTGTGTTTTTCCCTTTGAAACTGGAAACATCACAGCAAACTGTGGGAGGAGCAATAATTTAGCCAACCGCACCCTGCTTTCAAAATACTTCATTGGATAATAAATGCCTATGAAGAGCAGATACCATTCAGGCTTACTGTTTGGTTTGGGTTGGGTTTTTTTTTAAGCCTTATCTGTGAAACTCACATGGTAAACTCCAGGGCGTTCAGTTTATCTTCTTAAAAAAGATGATGGGATGAGCTGACCCTGCCAAGGTTCAACAGTGTAGCAGCCTTCAGAGAGTTTAAAGTACATGAATGGAAGAGGATCTTCAACCAGTATTGCCAAATTGCAACTGATGCAGTGGGGAACAACCCTAAGCAAAATCAGATTTTAAAAAAGTAATATAATTTTAAATACAAAAAGCACAAATCACTGAAACATCACATTAAAAATATTGTGTGACACATTACGTATCACAGACTGTGATGAGTCCAGATGTGGTCACTATGAATGAGATACTGCAGATAGGCAAAGTTTATCTGCGTAAGACAACCATACAGCGCTTCCTGATAGCACAACATAGTTCTAACAAATACACAGCTAATCTAAAATAATAATTGTGTTACTTTCCTTTCAAACAGATATAATTCTAAAATGTTATTGAAAATTCCCAGGAAGCAGGCAGTTCTGATATGAATATCAGCAGCCTTTCAAGTAGGCTGCAAATATGCAACATGTTCTAACTTATTACAGCAACCAAGTTATAGGTTGTTGCACGTACGTATTCCAATATATTCTTTCATTCATCATTGATCATAAAATTAACTTATGGTCTTATAGACCATTAATGGCAGATTTTGGGATGTGAAGGGAAGCTCAAAATACATTTGTGGGTGTGTAAAAATTTCCTGTAAGGAAACAAAAGCAAAACCAAAAGTCTCAATTTTTCCCCCTATTAAAAAATTCTGTAAAACGGATTCTTATTGAAAATGCACAAAATGCAGAATATAATCCTATGTCTGCAGGACAAAATTGGTCATCACTGTTTTCTAGTCTGATCTCCTAAAACAGCCATACAATAGATATTACCTTCAGCCAAAATAGACTTGTCATGGAAGGAAAGAAAGTGTTTTAAAATGACACAGGTTATTTATTTAAAGTAAAACCACATCATTCCAAAATTAACTATTGCAAAGGTTATTTGCTTACATTATTAAAAACTTGAGCTGTATTTCTAGCTTGAATTTTCCAAGGCAAAATTTTAGTCTTTGAGATTTTTTGGGTATCAAATAGTTTCTTGTGGAGGAAGTTTTGGATAGCAGAGTCCCTCATCTCAACAATGTTGTAGAAAATCTGTGCATAATTCTTCAGATAAAAATATTTTATTAAAAATGTTGCTGCTTACACAGTGAAGTGATCAATAACTATTACTTATGGATCAATACAAGTGTCAGTGCTCAAATTTTTTTCTTCTTCCTAACCCTTATGTTTCCCTCCTCAAGGATACTCTTTAACTGATGCTCACTTCCTTCTGTCTGCCGGAAGAGAGGAAACTGGAATCATTTTACGTGCCCTGGATCATTTGAATGTTTCTGAAAGATGGCAGTATTTATCACCTGCTTGTATCTTACTACCTATGAGTTCCAGTTATCCTTCTGCTATGTCCAAGAACATGATTTCCAACTTTGAAATATGCATTTTTAACACACATTATCTGAACATCATAGTTCTTTTCAGTACTAGGAGCATGGCAGGACCTCTATCCTAAATACTGTAGTGTAGCAGCGCTGAGATGGGAAGATTGTTACAATTAAAAGGGCTAAAGAAAAGACTTGGGGTTACAGCCAAATGATATTATAAAATAACAGTACTACAAGTAAATCTTGCAAATTTATTGTTTTGTTATGTTTGGGGATTTTTTAATTTAAATAAAAAACAGAAAAACATGCAGCATATAAATGCAAAAAAGCACAGTAAAACAGACTTTGAAGGTCACTAATATGCCTGGTTTGAAGTGCTTTTGATTCCTGGTGTTCATGGCCTAGTTTGTATCTCATCCTTCTCCAGAATATCCTGTTTAAAGCCATGTAAATTGTGAGATTCCAGAACAGAGCTGGATGCAGCTGTGTTGTGGATGAGGATTTGTGCTCTATAAAACACAAGCACTGTATTGCTGCAGTATTGATGGTGCCTTACACGTTAGCTGGTCCTAACAGAGCTACCAGCCTCTGCTAGTCCAAGGAAACCCTATTCCATAGAAAGCAAAGCGAAAAAAATAAACAGGAGGATGCCTACAATTAAATTAGAGACATACAGATTTTACTCCTTCCATAAACGGAAACAGAAGAAATGCCTTCTCTTTTAGAGAAGCAACAGGTTCCAGTAGAAATGTTCCAGCAATGTACATAACCAGCAGGTTCCAGTAATGTACATTAATGTGCCCTGGGAACCAGAAGAAGTGTATCTAACATAAGTGGTTCTTGTCCAACTTTGATGTTTTTCTGCCACAGGATGGCCTCCACAGTGAGGAGAAAAGGAATATGAGACCTCATGACTGCTTTGTGCTGGCTCGAGCTGGCAATTGAAAATTAAACTCAGTATAAGCATGGATTAAAAATGGATTTAAAATATGGAAATATGACAATTTAAAAATATCAAAATTGTCTTGATTTTATTTTTCTGATTTTTGTAAATATAATAGTGTAAGAAATATTTTGCTTCTGCAAATATTTTCTA